CACACCTGAATATTTTTCCTAGTTGATTATACTTGGTGCACAGTAGATCACTCAGCTTCAAAGTGTTTCAAAGTGAATCCAAGTATGTAGATCAATGATGGGCTTTTTCATGCAAACCTAACTGAAGAAAAACAAAACAAAATAACTTCCAAAGTTCACTCTCCTAGAAGTTCAACATCTCAAAATTCCCTTGAGATAATCATGACCATCCTTTTGGCTTTTAGTGAAATGGATGTCACTCCAGTGTCCACATTAGGACCCAACTGATCTCAGTCTATCTCTGTGTCTAACCCACTGGCCACTGTGATTTGTATCTGACCTCATTGGCTTTCATCAGGGAAGAGGAGATGCAGAGGGTTCACACAAAGAGGATACCCAAGAATTTGTTGTATTTTCTTAGCTATATAAATTTCAAAACTGGCAAAACTAAGAGTCCAAGATGACGTTAAAACTATGAGGAGAGAGGATCTGAACCAGAAGCTGATGTGAGGACAGACTCTGGCCTACTCGAGATGATATTTTCCATCATAGAGTGTAGCTGCCTGTGTGGTGCCTCAGTGATGGTTAAACTTTATGCTTTTATTACTTTTCAATAAGCATTAGCAGGTTATTTAAAATGGTGAGAAGAAAGTAAATGCTTGTTGTTTTCATTTTCTTTAGGCTTCATATGAGTATTTCTGTTATCTTTTTCTCACTTTATAGTAACCAAACTTTTATTTCTACTTATCCTACTAGATCATGCTCTCATTTCAATTTTATTATGAGATCTTTCTTCATTTCTTCCACACTTGCCTCTCCCTCTCTGTGATACTGAATGAGTTTGGAATAGATTCATGTTTATCTTTTTTGTAATGAAGCAAAAGTAAAAATGCAGGAATTAGGGGCTCCATGGTGGCACAAGTGATAAGATACAATCTATGAAGCTATACTCAGCCACTGCTGCACAAGTTCGGTCCCCAGCCAGGGAGCCACCCACATGGCACAGAGCAGACCTCTCCTGTCTCGTCCACTGCTCCCCTCAGCAGTGTATTTCAGTAGATCTGCCTGTTCCATTCCCACTCTGTCTCTGCTGAGTCCTCTCATCTCGCACATCATGGGCCTGTACCCCATTTCTTGTATGCATAAATAAATCTTTTTAAAAAAAGCCAAATACTTTGCTTTAATATATAGTAAAATGTCATCCATTATTTTATTCTACAACTACTTGAAACTGGTGGCTCATACTAAATTTACGTCATTGCTATAATTTGTTTCAATGGTATAGGTTTTTTTATCACACCTCTGCAGTATCAAGTAGAACCATTTTAGAGATATGATTAAGAAAATAAGCCCTTTCCTTTAAAGAAAGAAAGTCCTATAGTGGCTACATTCAACCTGCCCTGAGTCCCCCAACTATAGGACAAGCCAGCTGCTCCCCACAAAATGTCACTGGATTCAGATGTCAGAAGATTAGATCTCTTAGATATCTTACAACTTAGGAAGGAAACACTGCTCATCACATTCATGGTCTGCTTCCTTTTTAGAAGAGGGTAATTCAATAATATATACTCTAAAAGTGAATGGAAGGAGAGAGAGGGAGGAAGAGAGGAAGAGAGAGAAAGAGAGAGAGAGAGAGAGAGAGAGAGAGAGAGAGAGAGAGAGAGAGAGAGAGAGAGAGAGAGAAATAGATAAGTCATGTGATTATTCTCCTACTAAAAGAATAAGATGCTTTGGAGCATGAGGTTCCATGGCTCCATCTGATGATAGGCATTTACTTCATTCAAAATGCAAGATGGCCAGAGCTGCATGAGCAAAAAAGGCATGTGTGACCCTCCATGTCTCTGGGCTGCAGGGTTCGGTTCATTTTAAGCTTGTCTGTGTTTCTCACCCTAGCTTCATGACCCTCTCAGCTTTTAACATATGTTCAGTCATCTCTTGGCTGTGGAGCTGCTGTGCTTCTTCATGTGATTTGCTGTCAGACATCTCATGGTATTTTTTGCTTTTTCTTTTTATTTTAACCTCAGACTGACCACATGTCATAGGCTTGCACTGAGGGTCAAGCTCAATGTGTTAAATGTGCACAAGAAAAGAAAGAAAACAGAATAATAGTTCTTCCTCTCCACCCAGTTTACCTCAGTGGGCTAAAAAGATGAAAATATTC